CAATTTATAGAGTGTAACAGATTGAGGGTCAATTGTCTTAGAAATGTTAAACTTGAGATGTCTAATTTCTTGATAGAAATGATCAAGTCGACAAGTGGACTCAGGAATACGAAGTCTGCAAGAGGCCCACACAAAGGTCTGCGCCTGGGAATCTAGCGTACAGACGGTGCTTGGAAGCAGGCAATAGTGTAAGATCACCAAAGAACTGAGAAAGAGAAAGGCCCAAGGATTGAACTCGGGGGCACATAAAGGTCAGGAAGAAGAGAAAAAATCAGCAAAGGCACTCAGAAGGCACAACAAGGAATGTAAGAAGGAAAATCAAGAGCAGGTGTCTTTGTCTCCTGGAATATTAAGGAAGTTTATGATATTAATGTGACAAATTAGCAGTTTCTTTAGAGATAGACCGCATAAGCCACACTAGCTGCAAGTCCAAGAAAACATTCGTTTTCCTAATATTTCTGCTTGGAAAGAAATTCTTAGGCCATTAAGTCTCAATAAGTCATTATCTATAGAATCTCTTGAGCAAACATCCCCAGAACTGCCACTCAGAAAACTCCCCCTGTGATGAGGAATACATTCTTTCAAAAAGGAGAGAAAAGTGGGAGACAGGACACAATTGTGTCTCATCAAAAAGAACTTTACAGACCTGAATTCAAAAATTTTAAAAAAACCCTCAAAATTAATCCCAGTCTATCTTGTCTAAAAAAGGCAGTAAAATATATTAGAGATGTTTCCAAAACAGTAATCAGAAAGACATAAATTTGATGACATGCTAAATCAGTTCTCATGTTATTTCCCCCATATTACTACAATGAGAAAGTTATTTCTCTTGTACTTTTAGCTGATTTGAATTAAAATAGCAGCACATTTAAACTATTTAGCACTAACCGCATGTCACACTCCTAATACTATGAAGTAGGCACTACTTCATTGCCATTTCATGACTTCAAAGTCCCATGGCACTCTTTTCAAATTAGATACTAGGAGACTGTAAACCGTAAATTCAAAATATATAGTAAAGACTCCAGGTACAATTTTTCAGCAATTAACCAATGGAGAGTGAGGCGAAACTTCCTAAGAAATCTCTTAGGTGGAACAGAAGTTTGAAAGGTTCTTGCTTCCTCTTATTCTTCCTTAGTTCCATAACTTAACTCATCTAAATATGCACACTCTTTAACACATTTCCTAATTTTCGCTACAGAATTGTTTAATAGCAAAAAGAACTTAAGAAACACTTAACAATCTAGGATTCTTTGAATAAGAGCATCCATACAATGGAAAACAATGCAGTGCTTTTTAAAAATAGACATATACAAGATCCTCACTGTAGCAGTATTTTAAATAGCCGAAAACTATACAACACAACCGATCACCAATGTTAGAATGGATAAACAAACTATTGTATGTTAATGTAATGGAATATTACACAATAATGAGAATCAACAAAGTACTGTTATCTGCAACAATAACGATGAATCTCAAATGTAATACTGAGCACTAAAGATGACAAATAGAAAACAATACATACTATATGATTCAATTTATATCTACACAAAAAATATAGCCCCAGAATCAGTGTCAAGAGGAGAAACAGTCTCTGGGAAGAAGTGATGGGACAGCTACAGAAGAGCTGAACACAATGGTCATGAACAATGGCCCAAACCTCCTTATGGTTTGGGCTCCCCCATTTCTACAACCCCTTCGTGCATGCAAAACCAAAACAAGTTAGGAAAAAATATTAAGTAAAATGAAAATCCACTTAAAAGAAATTAAAGGTAAGTAGATAGTGAAAGAATTAGAACTAAAAATGTCAAGAGCAGTTAGAGAAAACATTAAACATGTATAATAGATTACAATAAAAAGAATTTAAAGATAAAAATTAATTTGAACATAAAAACAGAACTCAGAAAAAAAGCTAAACACATACATAAAAGACAAAAACTTGCATAACAGCCTCAAACATGAGATTAAAACAGGGCTGAAAACAAAGAAGACAAGAGCAGTTTTTTAAAAGAAAATATCAAAGAAGTTTGAAACACAGATGAAGAAATACATAGAAGCATTCAAAAGGAAAAAATGTCTGAGTCCTTCATGTTTGTGGGGTGGGTCTGCCATCCGCAGATGAGGGAGCCTCCTGAGCACAGGACCCCTATGAGCATAGGGCAAAGGAGCAGAAACAAACAGGCTTACCCTGTGATCCTTCTGCAAGTTCCAGGAGACTCTATGGCCTCTGTAGGCAGCTTCAGTGAGCTGAGGACTTAATAACCAATCAAAAGTGGGGAGTATCCAGCGGGTAGAGGCAGTGGTTAGCCTGACTCTACAACTGCCCAGAAAAAACACCCAGAGTTCCATTGATATAACAGGATCTCAAAAATGTGGTTTCCAGACCCCAGGATTAGCAGAGGTCCTCTCAGGGTATCTGAAACATGAAAATTATTTTCATAATAATATTAAGATGTTTGCCTTTCCACTAGCAGTTATGAGCCTCACCACCAAGCAGTCACCAGCAGGGGGCACTTCTATTCAGGAAGTCCCTTTTGAAGAAGTAATAATTCTATTAGATGTCCACCCTTGAGAACACATCTTTTGAATGTTCTATGTGAAGGGAAGCATACATAAAGTGTACTTGTGAGAAGCACTCGTTCTGTTTCAGTTCTGAGCTACACTAATCATTTTTTTCAAAGAACATCATGTTTACTGGAAAGAACTGACAGACCAGCAATCATTACCCAGACTTCAATATGAGGCAAACTTTTCAAAACGCATCAAGTGAGCCCTGCCACCTCCAAGATAGTATGTGACAGTATGTGTGGCCCATGATAAAAGCTGAGCTTTCGAGAGAAAAGTAGAACTTGCTGCAAACTTCAATCCACCACCCTGAGCCTTCTTTCCAATACGTACGCTTTCCTGGTAAGAACGGTGGGGATATGAACACAATGCCGAAGTAAATCAGAATCTCTCCGGATGTAATCTACTATTCCATATTATTTAAAAGGATCTCAGGTGATTTTGAAGCCTCCTGGGGGATTCAGTGCTGCTAAGCACTCCCACAGGTAACATCCCCAAAGTCATTTATCATAAGGCAGCTCACTAAATGGTGAGCAGCTCCAAGTTTAGGAAGCGAGACCCACTCTGAGCCATTCACCAGCAAGGTGATCTCTAACTGCTCGAAATATCAATTTCTTCATCTGTAAAGTGTGGGAAATACCTCCCAAACACAACATTCATGAAAATTAAATAAAATGATGAATGTGAAAGTCCTGCACGATTCCTGGCAAGGTCAGACACTGAAAATGTGTCACTATCTTAGGAGACACTAGATGAGCTACAGAATCTCACAGAGGGGATGGTTAAAAGTAGTGTTTTGCATTATCTGGAGTCTACAGGGTCCTCAGAATCCAGGAGAAAACATGTAATAGGCAGTTAGATAATATGTGGCATTTCTGAGCAGCAGCTGGGCTTGAGGATTAATAACTAACTATCTTGGAAGCAATACAATCCTTGTAGGCTCCTAGTGGTATGTCACCATCTAAGTCAAAGTCAAAGGCCTATTAGCCACAGTTAAAACAGAGTGGACTAACTTTATGACAACAACCATTAATATTATTGAACTGTCTTAATTCCATTCACATTTGTTTCTATTCATAATTTTGCTTCTCATGCAAACTTCTTCCCTAGACCAGTGTCTCAACTATCCTATCCCAAGGTAGTTATTTCTCATTACAACCCAGAATATCAAATCCTAAGAAGGAGAGAATAGTAAGGACACACTATCTTTGGGAGGATTAAGAAAAATTCTGAAATCATTTCCCGTAGATTTAATTCTATCCATGAAACCAGCTGGAAGGGCTGTATGAATTAACATTCCAGTTTAAAGGTCTTTGTAACCTTGGTCACAATGGATTAACCCAGTAGCCTCGAGGTTCAATGGTAAAATATGGTTCATGAACCTGGGCTGCACTAAAATAAAAGTTGGCTTAACTTGTCACTTGTTCTAAAGCAAAAATACACTTTGGTGTCATACAGGAGACAAACTCCTTTCCCCAAAATTATTTTTGAAGCAGCAGTCTATATCCTTCCACTGAATTTGTATTAAAAAGGTAACATTGTGTATAATACAGCAACATTTCAAAAGTTTTAACTTAATAAGTCAAATTAATGTATTTATCAAAAATAATAAATTCTACGTTAAAATACCATAAAAATATTCCTAAAATCTACACCAAAGGGATAGAATTTCATATGTCCTACAAATTTTGGATCAGAGAGCAAAGGTTAGAGCCAGAGCAGCTAAATTAAAATCCTATGAAACCCCTGAAAAGGTTATCCCATCAACAGAAACTTCTATGTGTATGTTTTTTTGAATTTCTGATTTAGCGTCCTACTGGTATCTTACTCAACATGTTGATTTATTGCTGAAAAAATGACATTGTATCCTAACTCAGTACTTGTACATTTTTATAAAAGTATGAGTCTTATGTTTATTCAAAGAGAAAATATGGGACACATTTAGATGGTTATTACAAATCTTTTATAATCCAGAATTAGGGAAAGGAGAGGAAAGGAGGGAGAAGCCAATCAACCGTGTGCCCTGGGTTAAACTGGCTCCTACAGTACCGGAAAGCTGATGATACAAGCACCGCAGAAAGTAGACTCCACTAGTGTTAACACTTTAGTATTAACTAAAATCGAACAGATTTCTAGAAAACTGAGGTTTAAATCAAGAGCGCAAGTAGGAAGGTGGTAATGGTAACAAAGGAAGAGACTTGAGATTTCAAGTAACGTGACTGAACCTCCACAAAGAAGTGCCACCAAGTGAACCTTTAGGCAGCAAAGTAAGTTAAGAAGATGCAGGACTGTGAGAACGAAGCCTCTATCACCTACTGCTGATGTTGAAACGGTGATCTTAAATGCAGTATCAAAATTAAAAGTTTATATGTAGCTAAATTCTACATTTTGGTTAGCAACCCAGATAGGAAATAAAACAGAAAAATACTTACTATAATAACCATATAATACAGTGTCCTCAATCTGTCTGCTGACATTAGCATTAGCCCAGTCCTAGGATAAAAAGGAAAAACAAGAGTAATATTAATGAAACACCGATTTGCTTAACAATTTATTAAGTTTTAATATAACTGAATATCACCTAAATATATCATTAACTAAAACAGGTATGGTCTGTGCCTTCAAGAAGAGACAGGTAAGCAAACAGACAAATTTCAATAGGAAAATGTGGAGACATGATGACAACATAGGTCTAGGGAAGCCCTTACGCAGGACGCACCTGACTCACACTGAAGAGCAGGGGTGGCTCCCAAACAACTCCAAACTGAGTTCTGAAGGAGAAGAGAGAGTTCTCAGAGGGAAGGAGGGAAAAACAGTAAATAAGAAAGGAACGTACATGAAGAATTTGAAAAAACTGCAAGAATATAAATATAGATGCACTAGAGCTTTGGAAAGGGAAAGGGACAGCAAGTGGAGGGGACAGACACAGCTTTGAGGGACTTGTGAGTCATGGTATTTGACGGTCCTGTAAGGGCAATGGAAAAATAATGATGAATTTCTATGCAGAAAGCAATAAACCGACTTTTTTAGAAAGAAGATCTAAGAAGATAACTCCTATGCATTTATTCTGCATAAGTGTTCTTTTGTTATTAAACTTGGTAATATAACTAGAAAATATAATTCAAATTAATCTTTTCAAATAAAAAACAAATCTGTACATAAATGATTCAAAACTTCTTCTTGCCCCATAAGAATGGAGAACAAAAGGAGGTAGAGGTACCCCTGCTGAAGCACCCACTCTTGGGAAAGCTCACCTATTTGCAGAATGTCAGGTATGTAAGGACCTGTGTATTTGCTGACCTTTACCCTTCTAAATTCCAGCCTGTGCCAAGTAATGTCCACTGATTTTTCTCCCAAGAACCCTCTAGCCAAAAACATTCACTGTAGCATTGTTTAAAATACTAAAAAACAATAACAACAAAAACTGGAGACAACCTAAATGTCCAAGGAAAAATGGTACAATGTATTATTGTACACTCATAACATGGAATGCCATGCAGACAGTAAAAACAATAAAATCTCTATAAACTTCATATACAGATAGCCACGAAGTTTCTGAGTAAGGGGAAACAGAACAACTTGCAATCATTTTAACATGTGCAGTCTTTATCTAAGAAATGTAATGAAAAAACACCCATACATACACAGAAAAATGAAAAGAAAAATGTAAACAATGCTTACCACAAGGGGGGGGAGAGCCCTGGGGAGAATTCCATGCAATGACTGGAAATTTTTTCATCAATGATTAAAGTATCTAAGTGAAACTGCATAATCTAACCTTCAGCTCCTAATAGTTGTGTTTCTTTAGTAATTTCTGCATTAAAACAGAAATTTAAAAAGATTTTTGAAAGTGGATAATTATATATTTCTCTATGAAAGCTCCCTACCACCTGCCACAACAACCCCATGAGGTGGCACATTGAGAATCACTTAAAAATTATACTTTAAAAATGAAACATGATCCTAACCTCAGAAAAAAAAAAGTTAAAAGTACAAAGTACGCAGGTAACTTAAAGCCAAAGATTCACTTAAATGTAGTACTTTTTACCCCACAAGGTTCTTTTGTTTAACCAAATTTGTGGCAATAAGAGATTATTGCTGTTACTATTTTAAAGCTACAAATATGTGTAAAATATACAACATCACTCACGTACTATTAGTGTATTTGGCTTTTATACACTGTTTTCCCTCCAAGGTACTGTCAGAAAAGCTTAGTTTATGAAAACTTCCCTCTTTTACATTGTGAGAACCACTATGCCCGTGACACATTTTATGAACTGTTGCCTCCCAGAGACCAAAAGGAACTTCAGAATCATTTAAGACCCAAGGAAACATGAGATAATCAAGAACTAATACTAGAGAATATTAAAGAACATTTCAGAAGAAGGAAAAGGACAAAAATTCTACAGAACAAAGACGTAGTGGGCTGCATATGTGAAGTTCCCTTTCCCAGTCCTCAACATGACCTTTTGAAACACTCGCTCAACTCAAAACTACCTGACTCTCCTCAATTTTACCTGATAACCTCACCTCAGAGCAATGTTTTCTCACTCAGGGCCAGTTTTGTCCCCCACGGGATGTCTGGCAAGTCTGGAGACCTGAGAGGTCAGCGGAGTAGCACTTAGTGGGTACAGGTAAACATCTGCTAAACACTGTCAATAAAAGGACAACCCCCCGCAACAAAGAACCAACCAAAAAATGTCAATGGTTGAGAAACACTGACTTAGAGGTCTCTGAGTAACTTCAAGCCGTAAGACAGCAGCTCGCTCAACTTACCACCAAATCTAAACCTGCTTCCATCTGTAATCAAATTCAAGGCCTTCAGGCAGGTGCACATACTACTTTTTATGGCCAGTACTTCCCCTTTGAGACCTCCCAACCCTTATGCGTTCTCAAAGACACTGTACTTGCAATGATATTTCAATCCCTTCAAAAATTTCTCCCATTGTATTGAATCCTAATTAAACGAACTCTAGTAACTTCCATTAAACAACCATCACCACAAATAAAAAACTTCCCTTGACCCCACTTTCTAATTACCCCAGAGAACAAAACTTCTGAAAAGCTATCCGCATTCCCCTTTACTAATTCATTACATCCCTTCCACATTTAACCACCCGAACCGGACCCCGCATGAAATTACCCCCATTCTCTGGTCACCTCTGCCCAAAGCCCAGTTACTTCTCTGTCCCTCTCACTACGCCCCTCAATGATTTCCCCTCGCTTCCCTCTTCTGTTTTTCTCCTCACCTCTCCAGTTGCAGCCTCTGCCCTTCAGCTGGCCTCTACCAAATGGAATCCTCCAATTCATGACCCAATGCCAAACCTCCTAACCGCTCGGTCTCCCCAGCTGCTACTCAGTCCACGGCTGATAAGATGCATATGCTGGTGACTTCCAGGCACTTCTCTCCAACCCTGAGCTCTCCCTGAGCTTCAACTCCCTACCTGACACCTCCATTTGTATATATGATAGGCAATTTCAAGGTAGCTTGTCCAAAGTACAGCTCTTTTACACTGACTGAAAAGACATAAGCAATCTGGCCCCCACCTATCTCTTGATCTCAGCTAGTAACAAAGCACAACCCCCAAAATTACACTTCAGCTAAACAGGCCAAACTCATCCCTGCTACAGGCCACCGAATCTGCTGCTCTTTCTCCCTAAAGCTCTCCCTCTGGCTCTTCAACGGACTGGCTACTACACAGGAAGGTCTCATCTCAAGAAACCTCAGCAGCCTGGCCTACTTCAGCAATTCGGCCTTCCTATTCCCCTATCTGAATTATCCACAACTTGATTAGACTTCCATATCAATTTGTTGTATTTCCTCATTGAACGTATCACTCAGAAGTCAGCTTGTTTTTGTTCACTGTAGGTCTGGTCTTACAGAATGTAAGTTCCATGAGAAAAGCAACCTAATTTGTTTTGATCATGAATCTCCAGCACACACGTCAGGTGCATATTATGTGCTTAATAAATTGTCAGTGAATAAATGTGTTTAAGGTGCAATGAAAAATGATATATAATTACCACCATTTGAGAGTAGGAATGAGGCATTAATAGACAGTTTAAACCAGGCATCTAATAACAACAGGCCATGAGGAGATTAATCACTGCATTGAGAGGGAGTAAGATATGAACTTTTCAGCTACTAACACACTAAATGTTTTGATGATATTATCTTAACCACTATTTTTTTTAATTTTTACATGTATATAAAATAAAAATATTTGTTCATGTTAGCATCAATTCCTGATTTGTTTTGATTGGTACATTTTGTGAATATCATTCTCCAAAGTTACTGGTCAAGTATATAATACACCTTATAGATGTTTAAAAAAAAAGCTAATTATTTCACAAAAACCTAAAAACAAATCACCTGGCTAACATTATTTATAAGGCCAAGTGCAGAAAAAAAAGGTCATGGAAAACAACTCAGGCATTGTTACAACGTGGCCCTGATAAGGAGGCAGGAAAAGCTAGGAAGGTAACCAAGACAAGCAAGCAGGGAGCTGACTACCTGTTCAGGGAAAAGCCTGGCCAGTCTCTGCTCCTAAACCAAATGTTTGCAATCATTGACTTCTGAGTTTCCAAATAATTATACCTTTTAAGCAAGTCCCTAATCAGTTTAGAGGCTTCAAAATACTTGAGGTGGAAATGAAGAAAGTTAGAGAATACATACATTGTTTAGGAATAAGAAATGCACATTGTGAGGAATCAAAACACAACATAATTCATCACGGAAAACAATGTCAACTTGTACATTTCTCCTAACTAATAAGGGTGAGACAGAGTAAAGCCACTGTGACATAATTTTATTCTAATATGGCTAAATTTACAATGTGGCCCAAAGTCTGAAGAATTAATTCTTAAATACTTGTGCTTTCCATTCACTAAGTACCTCAAGACTTCATTGGTAACTTTTTGGAGAAAATCCTTTCTCCAGTTTATTGGGGAAAAGCCTTTTATTAAGTTTTTTCAGTTCTACTCTTGACCATTAGCATAGGGCAGCTTCAGAGAAAAAGTTGAATTTCACTAGTTACCTCAACCCCCCCCCCAAAAAAAGAGGAAGAAAGAAAAGGAAACAAAGAATGTTTCAAGATATCAGGTAAAAAAGTACAAAGTATTGAGGGCAAAAACCAATACATTTAAGCTCTGAGGTGACTAAACCAGAACTACATAGAGACAATGAAGTAAATGAAAAGCAGGAAAAAAAGAGAAAGTACAATTACTGAATAACCTAATAATAAATGAAAAAAGTTTGGGAAAAAAAGGGAAAAAAATTAAGATGCAATTTTTCCCTCCTAATTACTGGTTCCAGATTTAGATTTAACAAATATTAAATAAGTGCATTAACTATAGTTATGCACTTTCTTCTCTTAGAGGACATTTAATAAAACAAGTGCCCTAAGTTGTTAGACTTTTGCTTCTTCAGGTGGGTGAATTCTTCAAGTCTTGCTCAAACAAGTAGAACACATCTCACAGGTTAAAAAAACAAAAACAAAACACTAGTACCCAGAAAATGACTACTAATTTAAGCATGGACACAGAAAAACTGTATAATCTAAGAGCAAGTTCATAATTTCATGAAAATATTTTAGAAATTTTAAGATGAAAAAATTCCCACAAAATCTATAACAATTCTATATTTAAAACTAAAAAACTCCCATTCAAATAGTAAATACTCAAGGGATAATACTTCTTCTATATCTATCTATCTATCCCTGTATCTACACAGCACCCACTGAGAAAACACACATACACACAAACAATGTAGTGAACAAGAGCTCTGGAGCCAGACTGCAGAGCTTCAAATCCTGGCTCAGCAATTACCAGCTGTGTGACCTTAGATAGGTTACTTCACCTCTCTGGACCTTGGTTTTTTACCCATAAGAAGAAGAATACTATGTATCTGATGGGGTTGTTTGGGAGATTAAAGAGTTAATATATGTAAACCATGTAGGACAGGGTCTGACATGTAATACATATTCGGTAGATGTTAGTGCTTTCACACAGCATTTAGCACATATTAGGTGCTCAATTACTATTTGTTAAATAAATGGCTAACCTATGGAAAATAACTGTAGTTTTCACAACAGTCTGATTATATCTAAAACCTAACTACAAAAACATTTTCAAACATTTGGCCCAATTCAGGAGCTTATTTGGAAGCATGCATTACTGAAATAATTAATATATCACCGAAATATTGAAGTACCTACTGTGTGCTAAACACTAGGGATACAACAAACAAGACACAGTTCTTGCCTCACAGAAGCTAAGCTAGTAAGGAACTTACAAGCAACCTGCATGACTGAAAGGGAACTCAGATCTTTCAATCCAGCAGCCCTCATTTTAAAAATGAGGGATCTGAAGTGCAGGCAAGTTAACTGATTTGCCCAAAGATACAACCTAGATGGTTAAGGGTCAAGACTACAACTTTAAGTTTTATAATTCCCAGTTTAGGGACTGTCTCACTATGCCATACAGACTCAAAGTATTCAATATGAAATAGATTGAGCTCCTGATCTGATACTAACAAAGCCCTTCTAAATTACTTATTTACTGCATTAATGCAAATCAAATCAAACTTCATGGGAGCTATGAGAGGCACAAAAATAAAACCCATTATGATTACTTACTACATTTTCAAATTAACAAAAGGCATTCTTCACATTTGAAGGGTTGTAGGATCAACAGTTCTTATGCTAGCTAATGGCCTGTTCTAGTCTTCCATGTCACTTGTCACACCATCTGTCTCTATGCTGCATTTCCACTCTCATTTATCCCACGGACACCAACAAAGCATAATACATAAACTGCTAAACTTAAAACACGTAATTGCCAAGACTTTGCAAGGAAAAAAATCACGTAGTATGATAATAATTACCTTAAATGTACCATTTTGATTTTTCATGTAAGAAACCAAAAATATATCCACTGGTAGAAGTGCTGATGTGATGAGTGCAATCGCCAGAGAAAAAATTGCTGTTATGGTGGAGACGACTTCACTTTCCCGCTGACTTTGGTATTTACGAACATATATCCAGCAGAATGCCAAAATAGCCTGAAACAGAACACAAAGACACACTTTGTTATTGCCCTGTGCTTTTAGTACGTATCTGAAAGTTTCCAATGGGAAATTCTGTCAAGTAAACTTTTTCTAGATGTGTAAGAAAGGTCCTCTCTATCCCTTATAACCTTAGACAAAATTTATCATTTTCAAAGCATGTTTCATGAATGCCATACAGTATCACTTAGGTGCAAAGATACAAAAAAAATTTATCAGTAACAGTTACATATCTCCTCACTGAACACAGTGAGCACAGCAACTATTAACGGATTCACACCACGCCACAGTCATAATTAGTGACACCTCCAAAGAGATGCCCCCAAGCCTTGTTGGAAAGGGCCATATCTGGGGTTAACTAATCCCTGGGCTGCTAAACTTAGAAGCATTGACTCATGAATTACTGTTTCTTACCTATAAAGGCAACCGAACCTGATGAGCTTCCCAACCTGTTGGAGACCTCAAACTAAAGATCTCCAGACCACCCAGGACCAACTAGACAAGAAGCAAAGGCACCTGACATAGACAACTTTCCCAAGTGTTGGAGCAAGGCCTATATAACCTCACAACAGACTCTTCCTAATGCCTAATGTTCATGGAGTATTTAGAATAATCCTTATAGCAGACATTTTAGCACTCTTTAATCCTATTTGTACCCAGCAATTTTAACTACCTGAGTTTGTTTAATTGGTTTCAAACAAGAAAAACTTTCTGATCCTACTTATGGTTACCCAGGTTAGAGGGACTAAATGGCAGGGACACTGTAATTCCAACATCCAAGCCACAGCAAGCTCTGTTAATCTTTCTGACCGTTGGGATATGTCATTCTCAGCCCTCTACTGGCTATAAGAGATCGGGAGACCCTTAATCATACCCATTTATTATTTCACGTTGGACGTTTGACTGCTTGTGGGCAGCTGGGGAGTACCAGGACAATGCCTCCTGGAGTATGTAACTTGTCCTTTTCTGTCCTTAAATTCATTACTACAGACCATACAAAAACTAATCATAGAAAAAAAAGCCTTCCGTTATAGAGGATTATCCAGATGATGACGTCTCTGAATATGAAGCCCAATATGAATGGGCTTTGTCAAGGCTGTCATCTCTCAGAATTGCCAGGCCCACTGCCCCAGCTAGCAGGGCCCAGAGCAAATCTTTGGACACTTCTACTCCCATTATCCTTGATATCTTTACACACTTTCTGCCCTAAGTGGAGTCTGTGCTATCACTAACACTTCTTGCCATATTGGATAAATACTTTCCCAATAGGTAGAATTACAAATTGTTAAGATTTCAAGAGAGTCCCTAAATCTCTCAATGGAATTTCATCTTCCAAAACCTTTGGCTGTTTAGATTTCAGATTCCCAAATATTTTCAGTTGAACGTCTGGATGTGGGACCATTCTGAGTTCTAGGTTACAGATCTCCTTATTCATTCCAGGACATAAGGTGTTTCTGTTTACATTTCCCCCTTTTGACTGGGATCTTCCCTTAGAAAGCAATGATGATCAACTATTTAGGCTGAGTTGTCAGGAATATTTGGTCCCTTACTCGTCACTGCTCAACTTGTTATTTATTCATCATTACCAAATGTCTTACTTCCGCTGTCAAAACCCAGATAATAGTTGCTCAAAACTAGAGATGATTAAATTTTCCCTCCGGAAAGTCAACTTCCTTCAACTGAGTTCCTGATTAACAACTCTGGGTAGCGACAATGCCTAAGGCCCACTTCCCCAGCACCTCCTTGTTGCTCAGAGTGGCCACTGCCCCTCTCACTATGACCCCTACTCAGAAACACCTCTTTTCCCTGCACATCGGACATGACATACAGCAACAAGGGACCAAATATTCCTGACAACTCAGCCTAAATAGTTGATCATCATTGTTTTCTAAGGGAAGATCCCAATCAAAAGGGGGAAATGTAAACAGAAACACCTGAAATGGAGCCTTGACTGTGAAGGGGCCCTACAGTGCAGCTGGAGGGCCATTGGGAAAGTTGGTCTCATACCTCGACAAAACACGAACTTTGGACCCCACCAACTTCAAGTGCCTACAGCCTGTTGCAGTTTTCAGAAAGAGGCTTATTGTGCTGAACTCTAGTCTAGCAACTAACCTAAGAATCTATCCTGTATGGACCAAGGTTAGTTATTTTTGTCTTGAATCAATCATACTTCTTTCAGAACAACTTATGTAAGCCTGCAGTTTTTGCCTTTATAATCTCTGTCTTTCTCTACCCACCTCAGAGCAAATTTCAGGTCCCTTCGAAGTCTATGTCTCCCGGATTTGAATTCCTAAGGACCTCAAATAAACATCTGGTCTGCTTTGCGGCCTCAGTTCTTTCTTGCTTGGCACTCTATATGAGCTCTAAGGCAAAAGCTTTGTTTTGTCTTTTTACTCTTTTTCAACAGATTCAACAGTTACCTCCCGGGTATCCTAGTTCAGGAGACTGAACTGAACTAATAATGCCAACCTAACTAGTTTCACAACTTCTAAATTCTACTACAATCAAAATATAACAGTTCCATAACCAAAGGAAATCCCCTTTTGTAGTTAACCCCTCTCTCAACTCTCCAGCCCTTGATAATCAGTTATCTGTCCTTATAACTTCCACTTTTTCTAGGATGTCATAATATACTATTATATAGTATATGGTATGGTATTTTTAATCTGGCTTCTTTCACTTAGTATAATGCATTTGAAATCCATCCAAGTTGTTTACATGTAATTCCTTCATACTGCTAACATTTCAATTGGTGTCAGATGGTAGGAAAATACAGTGAGAAGAGAATGTAGACTTTGGAAAGTAGATGTTGAAGAAAAAAGGAAAAGGGGGAAATAAAGCCCTCAGTTCAAATTCTAGCTTCACTATTTACTAATTTATCGTTGTTTTGGGAAATCATTTTTCACAAAATGTTATATATGCAAATATTTTAATTGGGTCTGCTTTTAAATGAATTCACAAATATTTAACACATTCCTCAAATTATCTGGAATTATTCTGAGGTCTTACCTTTCTGTGTTTAGCAATACCTGACACAAAGTGTTCGACACATTTTTGTTGGATTTCAAGATCTGCACTTTTACAAAGCTCAGAGGGACAGGTGTCGCTGCACAGGAACGTCTGCCGACAGCCAGCAGACAAGCAGGAAAAGGGTAACCCAAACCAAACAGTTAAGCCAAAGGCTCCCGAATTTTTGGGGCTCGGTATCCCTTTAGTTTTAAAACTGAGAACCCCAAAGAGCTTTTTGTTTATGTGGGTTAAGTGAACCAATGTTTCATCCATAAAAAATTGGAGTAAGAATATTTCTTTATAGCAGATTATAAGGATTAAATGAGACGTAAAGAGTTGAGCAGTGCCTGGCCCAAGTTCACTGCTTGGAGGGGGCAGAACATGCACCCTGGATACTGGCGTGAGTAGCAAGGGCTAGTTTGGCCCTACGCAGGTTTCTACACTGGTCAAGAGAGACTGGAGTGCGCGAGACCTTCAAGTCAGAACGGACAGCTCACATCATCGAGGCAGAATCCCACAGTGGGTGGAGACGGCGGGAGACGCCAAAACCCCGAGGGTAGGGGGCAGGGCAGGAGACGTGCGGAGAGCAGAGGCCCCCCTCCCAGTCAACGACGCCCGCGCCCACCGAGCTCGCGAAGACCGGGCGCTGCGGCCCCCACCGGGCGCCCCGCCTCCGGCACCGAGCCCGCCAGGCCCTGCTCAGGCCGAGGGCCTCCTCGGCACGCAGCTCACCCGCCCCGGGGCACAGGCCTTGAGGGCGAGCGTTTCAGAAGTGGAAGCCTGCGTTTTACTAGTCACCGAGGAAAAGACAGCGACAGCGGCCGCTCCGCGGCGCCCCACGCAGAGGGCCCCCCCCAAGCCCAGCTCCCGGCGGGGCGGGGCGCCGAGGGTCTCCCGGGCTCGGAGAGGCCAGCCGCGGGGCCCCTCCCTCTCTCCCGCCGGCGCGAACACCGGACCGCGCCGGGCGCCGCCCCTACCAGCAGCGAGAGGCCGAATATGCACCAGCCGATCACCAGCTCCGCGGAAGCCGCGCCGGCCGCCGCCGCCATCTTCGCTTCCGGCCCGAGCGGCCTCCGGCGCCGGGCGCGGGGTAGGGGAGGGGAGCGGGGAGACTGCGAGGGACGCGGCGCCCGCGCACCCTAAAGGTTAAAGGGGCAGCGGGGAGGGGGCGGAGCACGTGGTTGCCAAGGAGACGCGGCCCTCGAGCGTCCCCTGGCGCCGAGCCGGGAGCGGGCAGGGCGGCGGGAGGGGCCCGGGGGCGGGGCGCCCTGGACGCCGTGACGTCGCCCCGCTGCCCCGGGCGCGGGCAGGGCGGTGGGAGAGGCTCAGGGGCGGGGCGCCCAGGGCGCCGTGACGTCACCCCGCTGCCCCGAGTGCGGGCAGAGCGGCGTGGGGAGCGGCTCAGGGGCGGGGCGCCCGGCGGGTCCGCACGCGTGTCGCCTGAAGGCACCTCAACGCGGCGGAGTGTTTGAGTCGGCCGACGGCGAAGCACCGCGAGAGCCGGGCAGCTCCGCCAGCCCCGAAGTGGCCTGTATCTGCAGATCCGAGTCAGCTTTAGGGGTTTCTCCCTCCCGGGAAGGAAGTTTGCCCCTAGTGCCCACAGCAGGGTGGGCCACGCCGTAAGCAGAGCTCCTCACCGGTTGCGGCAATGACAGAAGAAAAAGTATATCAGCTGCCCAAATGACTATCTAAATTGCTGGTATTGGGGCCCAGGCTGAAAAACTGCTGGGCTGGACCCTGCCTTCTCACGTGATGTTACGACCTTTCTGCTTGGATCTGTGCATGTCTGCAAATTTCCATTATGGCTTTATACTCCAAAGGTATTTGAATCTGTGAAAATATTCATAGTGAAATTCAGGTTGTCATTTACTTACATGTGAACAAAACACATACTGCCATAGGCCAATAGTGAAACAGAAGGAAATAGCTCCTGGGATAGCTTGCCTGGGTACCCTGCAGTGGGGGTGCATATTTAACCACTGAATTAAACAAATATAACTTGTAATAGAATCAAAACACAACTTTATGAACTAATTTCTCTGTCTCTTTACAATGTCCCCTACCTAGGACCTACTTCAAGCTGCTGGCCTGCAGTGTCGGGGGGAGTGGATTCCCTGTCCGGACAGTGAGAGAAGAAGAGAAAAGAGAAGACAGTGTTAATGTGAATTGGTACCACTGTAAGCTGGCTTCGTGCTCTCTGGACCTGCAAAGGTTTTAATATGATTCTCCTGGGGGGCATTCACTTGTCTGGAGTCCTCTTTCCTACAGTTTCCTTGAAGTGAATAGAAGCATCTCTATTCCAGGTAGTCACTTAAAATTCCTTTGCCAGGGCATGCTGTGGTACACACTGGCCTCTTGCTGCTAAGGTCCCTAATCCTCCCCTAGGGTCTCACTTAGCTTGGAGGAGAGGTCTGAGACAACCCCAGGCCAGGTTTCCCCTGTCCCCCGCAAGCCCAAATCCTCTCTATAGGAAATGATCATGCATACCTCTCACCAGCAACCTTTGGGAGCACAGGCCAATCCCAGTGTAGCTTCACTCTTCCTGCTTCTACCATCAAAGCAGTCAGCCCCGCTTCGATGTCCTGGAGGAAGTCAGCCTGCACTACCATAGTCTGCTGTAGCACTCCTAGGCCTGCCAGATCTCTGTCTCTCAGTTACAGGGACAGTATTCCAAGTTCTCCAAGTAGCATCCTTGAGGCTTCCCTTACTAGGCTAAGGGCTGGATGGTAACATTCCAGCCCAACCTTCCCCTTCCACATATGCCATTCCTTGGGGTTAGAGGTGGAGAGCCACAGACCAGCAAATTCTCAGGAAAGTAATCTGTTTAATTAGTCTCTCCATTCCAATCCATTTATTGATATTTTATGTCTGAGGGGTCCAAGAATTATAAAATAAATCATTTCACAGCCCTTTTTAATTCTACAGAAAGAGGAGAATTCAGTTAGAAGGGAGACAAAGAAGGAAGGAACATAATCTTTCCTGCCAGTTCACTTTCCAGTGTGAGAAAGTGAGCTTCTACCAAGACTGGACTGAACCTTTTTAATATCTGATGTAACCTTCATCGAGTCAAACCCATTTGGTAAACTGGTTTAACCTTTCTGCTGACTGAACACATAAGTAGTGCAATACTATTATGCAGTTGCTTGATTTTCACACTGGAAAAGCCTTACAAGTCTGTATTGCTGGCAAGTGGGGCTACGTACGAGTAGTGGTTTGAATCAGAAAATTGGGACGGAAGGGTCTAGACAGGGGTACTCTCTCCATCTCTCCCTTCTTCAGCCTAGTGAGGAACTACGGTTCATCTAACATACACACCTGACCAGCAAGAACTGAATACCTCCTGAAAATCTGAGAAGCCTTTAATTACAGACCACAGTTCTTTAAAAATAATCATCTTTATCAGTTGTTTATGATTATAAAAGGAATACATGCTTATTTATAAAATTTTCAAACATGAATAAATGGAAACCGAAAAGGTTCTAATGAATTGACACAATCCTCTTTACCCCAAGATACTTGCCTTGAAGAGCTTCTGAGTTTCTGTGTAGATATTCTAATGTGTACTGTGAGGATGTAGAAAACCAAAAAGATAGTCCTTCCCTACTCCCTTGGTGCTATAGAATGAATATTTGTGCCCCCTCACCAAATTCATCTGTAAATCCCAAAGCCCCAAGTAATGGTGTTTGGAGGTAGGGTCTTTGGGAGGGAGGTACTTAGGTCATTAAGGTAGAGCCCTCATGAATGGTTAGTGCCCTTATGGAAAAGACCCCAGAAAGTCCCCTCGCCCCTTCTGCCATGTGGAATTGCAGTGAGAAGATCACCGTCTATGAACCAGGAAGCCGGCCCTACCCAGACAGCTGATCTGTTCGCCCCTTCATCTTCCCAGCCTCTAGAACCATGAGAAATAAATTTCTGCTGTTTATAAACCACCCAGTGTATGGTATTTCTGTTACAGCAGCCCAAACAGGTTAAGACCCGATGAGTCACTGTAGAATGCCCTTGCCCCACCCCCAACTGAACGACCCATAAGAAGGTACCAGGATTTCTTTCACATTTTAAGTTCAAAGAAATGGCCATATACAGCCCATCATTCTTGAGGGGTTTAATAAGAGGAGATTCTGCAGAAAACCTATAAAAATCTGGACCCCTTGGGCTATGTTGAGGTCTAGAGACCTTTAGAGGAAAGCTAAATTTATAAGGGAAAATATCCTCCCCTCATTCCTCTGTCCTTCAGCCGTTGCAGAGTTCTCTTCCCCTGAAGTCAGTGGGAGGAAGACGCACAGGACCATCTCCCTAAGGCTGGAGGGTGCGGCCTGAATGTTGGGAAGGCCCAGCACCCTGCTGTAAGTGCTGAGGGTGGCATAAAGACCAGTGCTGAGGACTATCTTGGCACAGAAAGGGTGTGGATTGGCAACTCCCGTCCTCCTCACCTCCGCACCCCAACAACACCCCCTTAAACGCACATGGCAGGCTTTGGTAGGCTGCCCCTGTATATCGCCCTGTGTGGGGAGGGCTGAGGAGAGATGCAGCCACTGCTACTGGAAGAAGCCTTCCTGAGAGTCCCCTTTATCGAGAGCAAGAGCACACAGGCCGCAGAAAGCTGGGAGCAGCCCAGGTGGGCCAGCCAGGCAGGACAGAGGGACAGGCGACCTTGACACCAAAACTGGACGAACAAAGAACAAAAAAGGAAAACTAATGAAGACAGGTGCCAAAACTCTCAAGACAGGAGTTCATGAGGCAAAGATGCTCTTTCCCCCCATCCCTCTGATGCTCAAGAGGTTCCCCTCTGAGCTGGGGAATTGGGGATGGGTTTGGGAAGCAGGTGGCATGAGAATGGTTTCTTACTCCCTTTGTGAGGTGCTTTTGGAAAACCAAAGCTGGGATTGTGATCAAGTGACACGTATAAATTATCTTATATAGGAATCTGTCGAAAGAACAAAAAATCAAAAGTTTTAATTAAGAGGGAAGAACAGGCTGGAAGTAAAATCTATCAATGAGACACAAAGGAGGTAACAGGTAAAGAAAGGAAATAGGACGAAGGGCCTGACTAGGGCTAGGGTAGGAGGGCGGGTGAGTTAGGGACACATAGGGGTCAGGGCCTGGTGCAGGGATCAACGATCTAATGACTTCAGAACTTAGTCCTGGAAACTGAGCCAAACTAACCCCACAATGGGACCCACACTAGTTGATATGCACCCTGAAACTCCACTTAGACTATAGCAAAGTCTAGTTATACACCCAAATTAACTGTGTATGTTATGCCACTGGATGTTAACATTCTATTTTTTTAAACATCGGATTTGATATATTAATTTTTCTTATTTTGTTGCCTTTTTGGAAATTTAAAGTATTGGACTGTCCTAAATAAGACACTTGAAAAACCTCAAAATTTAGTTTTCTGTCATTTGTGTTTCTATGGCTGATAATCCTCCTTCTTATCAACAACTTCTTTCTTTGGCTATTTGAATACCTTCAGGCAGGTTACAGTTAAGCCTTGCTGGCCTCAGATCCTAGTGGCTTTGCACATGTCTGTCCTGACCCATTATGTGTTGATTTAGAACTGAGGTCTCTGCTCTGCTCCCTCAATCTTATGTCAAAAGGTTTTAATAATGATCTGGGGTGAGTATTACCACGGGCCAGAGATAATGTGAGCAACCCTTTCCCTCATTGTAAGTACATTATCTCCCTTCCTACCCTGAATCCTGCCACTGTCATCCAACTGAATTGGTCATCACAACCCTAAGAAGTTTTTCCTTTTCTTTGTGATGGGGTTAAAGTGTGTTTATGAGGTAATTGGCACATATGGTTGAGAGGCCCATTTGGTCCCACTAGAACATTTGCTAACTTGTATATAACCCACTGGGGAGCCAGAAGTTTTTGCCCAAGAGCCAATCCATAAAAAATTAAATGCTTATGGTCTGCATTTTTCATTTAAAGTCAAGATAGCTTCCTTTGAGTCCCAAAGTATAAGGTATATTCAAAAATAGAGTTCATCAGTTTCATTGTATTGAAAACTACCAAAAAGAAAATGACAATGAAATGTTACTATCTGCATGTTTTTGATTTTGTGGACACAGAGGCAACTTTTCCAATTTGCCATCCTAAAATTAGATTGCACACAGTATCATAATGTGAATTGTGAAATTCACATTTCCATATTTCTGCAATTATAAACTTTTAATGGATACCATTTATATACTTCTAATGGAACAAACATTGCCACATGAACTGGTAGCACATGATAGTTTACAAGTGAGAAAGTCTACAAGTTAGAAACAATGAGACATAGAGAAGAATTTTAACAGCCTTTGCTAAATTCCTCCATGTCCACCATGCCTAGTTCATATTATAATAAAGTTATCTATGTGACAGCTCTCTCCCTGGAGCAGTTCTTCCATCTAAATTCTTTGTGTCCAGTTGGGTGGTGAAGGTCTACATTCTTTCGGAGTCTTTGGGGCCTTGATTGTTTTCAGCTCTGACATGATCTGCGCACTAAAGTGGCCCATCCTGCCCTTGACCACTGAACCTTCCACCCTCTTATCTCCTGCCAGTGCCTCCTTTTGGATAAATTTAACAGGAAGCCAAAGCACAAGGGAGTCTTTGAAGCAAAGCATAGTAATCAGCCTGGGATATAGAGAAGGGTGGAGAATGGATGTGGAGGACCAAAAGGAAGACACTCAACAGAAGAGAGAAGATTTGTCCAATGGGAGTAAGGCCCAGGACCTGGGACTCCTGGTGAAGACAAAGAGGGCATTTTCTATAGAGTCTATGATGTATTCTAGCAGAAATGACAAAAAATACTATTCTAATTTTTGCCTAGCTAATGAGAAACTGGTATTTCTAAATAAGATAAGGCCCAATAGCCTTGTCTTAATTAAAATCCATTGTTCATTTTGTATTGTATATAATGAAAACAAGCAATAATACCTATAGTTTAAAAAAGATTCTAGCTCTGCCAGATAACTAAACTACTCACATAATGTTTCAGCTTTATTTTCAAATTCAGCTTTCAGATTAAAAGGATGCTTCTCTTAAAAAATTTTGAATAAATTGATGTTTAAAAAATAACTGCCACTGGTCAAGTTTAGCCCTGAAAAAAATGAACAACGTCGAAACATTCCACAGGTCTTACAGACCAAGTGACTTCAGCAATGTTGATTCCATATCTATTTCATTTTTAGCATCAATTATAGATAATCTTCAGCTTGCTGACAATTTAAGGATTTTATCAGATAAAGGCCA